CAACTGTAATTTTAACTAATCATACTTAAGCAAGGTGTTCAAAATGACCTCCCAAAACATCTATGCATACTTGAAAGCGGTCATTGAAATAGTTTGCAAAGAAATATTTTGAAAAGCAATTCGGATTCTATTTTTTATATCCCTTGTTATTGAAGGTATTTTATATACTTCGTTCTTTATGTAACCCCAAAAAAATGAGTCCACTTTATTGAATTCTGGTGACCTTGGGCCACCTCTTAAGATCCATCTTTCACCTAACTGATCATTAAGTTCACCACGTACTAATTCGTTGTGGTACGCAGAAGCACCTCCATGTAGAAACTACATTTGTTCACGTATATTAAGTGGAACCTCTTCTAATAATATTGGTAACTATGTACGATAAAATATAAATAAATCTTACCATTTACGTTATATTTAAACAAATATGGTCCTACTGCATGGTTACCCACGATACTTCCCCACACATTTAAAGATTATCTTGTTTGACTATGTGTTACTATTTGCTATGGATTACTTGTTGAATAGTAGTGAAAGTTATTTATGTCTATTAACAGAACACTGAAATGCAGCTTCATCACCAAATATGATATAATCAAAAAAATCTCTGTTCATTAATTTTTTTAAGGCCCATTCACAAAATACTATTCGTTTCTGAAAATCATCATCGTTTCATTCTTGGTGCTTTTGAATATGGTATGGGTGCATCTTGTTTTTAGATAGAATGTTTTGAAAAAAGTAATAACTAAGTTCTTGCTTATTGGAAATAATCCTTATACTTGTGAGTGGGTTTTCTGTAACTGCCATCAACACACTCATTTCGTTTTCCTCTGTCACACTAGTTTTTTTTCGTTCATGTTTTTCATAATTCACTGAACCAGTGCGGTTAAATCGATCTTTCAATTTGTCAAATGTATCTTGTCTAGGTTGCCGCCTATCTGGAACCCGTTCTAGCTGATAGTAATGAATTTTTATTGCATTCCCTCAATATCCAGATCATATTTATCTATCATTTCATCAGTAGTAAAATTCATTATTGCTAATTTAAATTGAATAAATTATTGAATTACTAAATAATAATTGTTGCTAATTTACGATGTACCCCAATACTGAATTAATAAACAATAATGTCAAACTGTCAGTTTCTGACAAATCAATAATGGTCAACTCACAATAATATTGGTAAACGTTAAAATACCTTCAAAATTTATACTTTGATGGAAAAATAAAAATATCTAGAAAACTAATAACTTTATGTATAGGGAGTACTCTATAAAATTTGAAGTACGATATTAGTAATTTTCGATAGTGATATAAAATACAGGGTGTTCTATTTAAAATTACCAAGAAAATAATGTACTTGCAT